ATAACATAAATAGATAACGCTCAAACAATACTCATGAACACAAATGCGAGTAATCGAATCAGCGACCATCGGAAGTAACGCAAGTAAGATTTCTCTTCATTTGATGTATCGTTGAACATTGTTGCCCGAATGTAACAAGAACCCAATAGTTACAATTCTGGGCTTGGAAACGGTAGTCGAATTATTAGATAATGCTTTGTCGTCTGGTCAAGAAACTATTTATAAACTGATTATTAATTCTCATAGCCTTGACCGGTTGCGATTTGTAAACCAAGGTCACATATTGCCGAGATGGACGTGCGATTTGATTTTTAAAGGAAGTAAATTTATAGATAGCTTATTGCCATAAGTTTTGGCAAGAAAAATATATAATTCGGGCTGTCAGGAGATATTTAGCGGTTTTTAGCTCAACCGCTGTAACTGCATGAGTTTATTATATTTAGATTAGAAGGCATGGTAGATAAATTTAGTGAATCTATCTTAACGCATGGTGCTTATTCAAGGTAGATAAAATCCATTCGGTTTCTACTAAAATAAATAAATAACTGAAAACTTTGTCAGCAAAGCAAGAGGACTAAGTAGTTAATGGGTAGATACACAAGATCTACTTTCTATACTATTCTTTCAAATAACTTTTTGCAATTGGTTTTAATTAAAAATCATGTTACTAAGTAGGTATTATGTAAATAAAAATAATTCGTTTTAAAACCACTAGTTATGATGACGACTTAGTCCCTGAGCGGGCTAGCGATGGATCAGGGAGAGAACCCCAACAAATAAACTCACCAATGCCTACAATATTCACAATTACCTGTCTCTTATTTGTTTTTATAATAATAAACACTCCAGCCTTTTCGCTCCAAAACTCCCCGCTATGTAACTGACGTACATCCATCCGTCAAATCTACTTGTCAATGTCATAAAGATTATTTAGGCCACTGCCGTTTCGTTTCAGGTTACTCTGAATGCCTTAGATAAAGAAACATGATTATTGACTTTACCATTTTTAATTAATGGTGTTTCACACGATAGTTAACATTCGGTAACGTAATTTATATCCTTCATCGTTAACGTTATCTATGACTTTGTCGACTTCGACACTATGCCTTCGTCGATACGATTATTTCCTCTGACGATTTGCCTATACACGATAAACAGCAACTTACGGCTCTCTTCTGGCACTGATCTGTTTCCATCGATTTTAGAGCCTTGTGTAGACGCTTTTATTTTTATTCTGCCTGACAATTTGCCTTCACACGGGATAACAACGAAGCTGACCCAGATTTTAGAACTGTGTGTAGATGCTTTATCTCAAATATTCTGCAATTATTGTCACATGTTACACTGATCTCTTTTTCTGGTCCACAAGCAACTTATCAGCAGAAATAAGTCACAATAAGACAGAAATAAATAATAGTATAAATATCTCCACGGTATGCACACGGCATACCTTGGAGATATCGTAGTTATTGAAAGAGATAATTAAATTTTATGAGCTTCGTTATAATGGTATTAAGAAAAACGTAATATTGTCTTTCGATTAGTTAATATCAATTTAATGTTTTTAATTATTATCGTAACTATACGATTACTCTAACATATAAGATTCTCGTGTCGCCCTTCGGAAAGCTAATTCGGAAGAGTTTGGTAACAAACACGTCACCAAATTCCTCCGAAACGACTTTACTGATTTTTATGAAATTTTGAGTGCATATCAGGTAGGTCTGAGAATCAGTCAACATCTATTTATCATACCCCACAATGATAAGGGCAACCTATCTCTAGAATAGAACAGAATAGAAATTCTATTCTATTGCATGCATTAAAAATACATACAACCCTCAATTTTCACCATTCTATCATCAAATGTCTATTTTTAATAGCAATTTTAAATTATTTGGCAAAACGACGTTTGCTGAGTCAGCTAGTAATGTATATCCTCAAATGCAGACGCATAGATCCAGTACCATCCCGGTACGTGTAAGATAAGAATTAATAATCCTTATATTCTCTATCAATTTTGGTACTAAATCTCATTGTATTTATTATGTAATTGGTATAGCAGATAAATGAATTAGTTTATTTGCCATTCCAACAATGGTGGGCCGACGCCCACCTGATGGAAAGCTATAAACGTTGCATCAACATGAACAGCATCACTTACGTCACAAAATACATTGACGCTAGTAGTATTATATAACGGCTGCAATGGTCTAGAAGTTTAGGACGCTGCTTTACTTCCAATGTTCCCGGGTTCGATTCCTCGCATGGTACAATAATCTAGTATTATATTTATTTTTATTAAGCATAAGGAATAAACGAGATTGCGGCTCATCTGATGTGAGTGTAAGAAAGTGATTACAGTCTGCCATGAACATCCACAACACTAGAGCAATTGCTCTTATCTTGAAGGTTTCAATATCGTTCTCAATTTTCGGTTTCAGTTTCCCCTCCATTTCATAGTTGTTTCTACTTACAGTTACTCAAAATGTACAGGGTCCACAATCTCAAAAAAGCTAATAAGAATAATTTTTTTCATCTATTTTAATGCTATTATTTTAATGCTCGATGAAGCTGTAAAGGCCAACTATTGCTACAGTTGGCCTTTACAGCTTCATCGAGCAATAAGGAACCAAATCCGTGGAAAGACTTACGGACCGGCCAAAGGCCAACTCCTGCCTGATGGATACTTTAGTCTGAGGGCACCGCTATAGCTCGAATTGATTAGAGCATCAATCAGACGTTTATTTAACCCAGTGTTCCCCCTTGACTTTATTAGACCGAGCTTATAGAGGACTAAACGTACTCCGAGGACACTCCCTCGCGTGTTCCCTTAATAGTTATGACGATGCTCCTGTAACTCAATATAAATCGGCTATATTACTACAATCAATATGATTTATCGGCGGTATGAGGAATTTCCTACATATCGGCAACGATGGCCAGTTATATTTCATTTGATACAGAACGCCAGATGTGTAACATGTCTAATAATGCGACCTTCAATGAACGTACAGCGAATAGAATTTTTATTTTTACTTATCTTATGGATGATAATGGAATGGTGTACCCAACTGCGCTAACGGTTTACGCTAGCGGAGTATCAGTGGAGGATGATAAGATGAGCATGAGGTCAGGTCAGCTATGTGAATTTACCAAGGTGGGTTTCAGGGGGACCCACGTGGTCACCCTGACATGGTATATTGCTAGCATTATTAGATCACATTACTAACAATCCCCTTCCCCCTATTTTTAGGTCTCAATTGACTTAATATTTAAAACAATAGTCATAAATAGGGAGACTTGCACTTTACAAAACAACGTGTATGCGCAAGGGAGATATGACTGTATTCAGATTATTTAACATCACGTTGAATTCGCTGAAATTGAATCATAGAATGTTACTAATAAGTAATATTATAAACGCGAAATTTGAGTATGGATATATACATGGATGGATGGATGTTTGTTACTCTTTCACGCAAAAACTATTGAACGGATTTTGAAGAAATTTAACGGTAATATAACTTATACATGAGACTAATACATAGGTTATATTTTAAAAAGATATTACGTAAATTGCACGACATATATAATGATAAATGTCAAGTAGATGCGATGCAGTTGCGGGGGTAAGCAAGTCTTTATTATTACTAGCTATGACTATTTATACAAAAAGGGTGACGATTGTTTGGATACGAAATTCTATACTTGTTCAGTACAATATTATCAAATATAATATAGATTGAAATCCCTATTGCTGACGTACTGGCCACATACATTTATAATTTTTATTTTTTATTATTAAGAATTTTATAATATTTGTTTGTGTACAGAACATTAGTCTAATAAAGATTTTGACAGACAATAACAATTCTTTTCAAATGAAAAGAACTAGAAATTTCAAATATATCTGGAACACAATTAATTACTTAATGACTTTACTAACAATGGACATAAATGTATTACTTGAGGGTTGCATTTACAAGCCAAGTTTACCACGTAGTTCACAATTGCAACTATGAACTGACTAAAAAAATAATAACAAAAATAATGCGTCAGTTTTTTTCTTGCCAGATCTATTCAACTGAAGTACAGTGATATTGAATGGAAAGAATAGTGTTAAAAAATATGACGTGTCGAAGAGGTCGAAAACTCCTATGTGATTAAAATGATTTTTTATTCTATTCTATTCTATTCTTCTTTATTGAAACATGTTTATTTATTCTCTCCTTATGTATATATCTCTCTCTACACGTGATAATTAAAACAAACAAACTAACTCGTTTTTCAATTCTGCAATCTTAAATGTTCGTGAGTGCACGACCTTATTAAGATAACAATATTCAATTAGAGTTCTTTAATGTTTTATTATGATTAATTAATTATATCATATATCACCATTGACATATAAAATTTGATATGTTTTTATCGTATCTATTATTTTTCTCACATGTATATTTGTCAAAATACCTTAAAAATAAGACAGAATTCGTGGGGGTTAATGATGGGTATTGATGATGCTATTGCTGTTAATGTATCAATGTAACAATTGCTATCAATGTACATCAGATGGATCCCCTCTCGATAACCTGGGAACTAACCATAATTCCACGCGAATTTTCCACAATGGACTAACTCATAGTTTTTCTATTGTCCTTCATTAATATCGTATGTGGTTAACACAGGTTGGTATATCATATTCATCAAGATCTGAATTAATTCGTATATATGGTCGACAATAACCGTTTACCAGGTAACAGCCTTCAGCTTCTTTGCCATTTCAATTACACAAAAGGCTTATTATAAGCCTCATTTGTAATAAATTTAGATTATAGATTATATATTTAAATATGACAGATATTTTCCTGTTACAGATAATTGAGAATATTAGTTCTTGCATTTCAGTGTAAATCTGTAGATAATATTACTTAAAACTAACCTATACCATTGTCCCACATTTAAAGCTACCTATAAATAAATTAAAAATAAATAAATACCTCTCTATTCTTTTCTGAGGCAACCTTTGGCGTGAACAGTAGCTGGTTAATGAAGCCAAGGAACATGAGTATGTAGAGGCCAATGTGTGTGAGTGCTGCTGTCAGTAATGTGGACTTCTCGAATGATCCCGCAAAGGTGTCATACTGTGACCAGTCCATTGGTGGCAGTGGATCGCTTTTTGAGAATTTCTGCAATATAACATAATAGTTATTTGATGGAGATATTCAGTGAATACAAGAGTAAACATATAATTTAATCTTAATCTTCATTACATCAGATTTGTAGTCTCTTAAATAATTAAAATTAAAAAATAGCATTTAAAAATACATAATTTTTTTAAATTTTAATTATTTAAGTGAAACAATCCTCTGTTAGTTCTCAGATTGTATAAATCTAATAATATATAAACATTTGTATCAACTTTCTTGGCATTTTGGTAATTATTAAATGTATGTAATATAATTTTTAAATTATAATGTCATTCTCGTGTATAAGCTATATTACTGTAAAGTGTCATCAACATACTTTTAGTAGTTTTTGCATAAAAGAGCAACAAATACAAACCCATCAATACAAAATTTTTTTTCTACAGCCTCAGCATATCTATCTGTATGCTCAAGATATTTTTCTAAAATTAAGAACACATTTTTGCAGTTTTCATCTATCAGGAGAGTAATTCCTGATGAAGATTTCTACTACCCATAAAAACCCAGGTAAATGTCTTAATACGTATAAGTTGATATGAACTGTAAGCTATAATTTGTGTAGATTCATTTATTTTTATCTATTATATATTTTAAATCTCCGATTTTTTTATAATGTGTGACAGGTACCTTATAATCAGTACAAAGCAAAGTACAAATTTACTTTGTTACGAGTAATTTGTTTTCTTTTCCCAGATAGACATAAGACAGACATATGTATCATGTTTATCAATCTATTATACATATCTGTCAATCATTCCATCAATAGAATCTATTTAGTATTACAGTTACAGCCTATTAATTACAAAATTATTACATAGTATTTAAAATATATTGTACAATTATAAAACACTTATAATTCACTTGTATTCACATAAAACAATACATTTGTGTACCCTAATAAATTTGAATATATAATAATAAATACATACTTTGTCTCGTAAAGGGTAGTCAGAGGTATTGTCAAGTGTGTAAATTGGTAATGTTTTGTGAATATTAATAGAAACACTCATGCAAAACCAAGCAGTGTATAAGCAAATAGAATAAATATAAATTTTAAAATTAATATTATAAACAGAAAGAAGTGTATGGATGTTTGTTACTCTTTCACATAAAAACTACTGAATGGATTTTAATGAAATTCCACTTATACATTATAATAAAAGATAAGCTATAAAAATGCATAACTAAATTTAAGGTGAAGAATATAAACTACACAAAGTGCTAAACCAATGCATACAAAGTTTGCCAGCACCAGCTAGTATGAAATAAATATGGCACCCAGAAAACAAGATATTTTGAATCTTATACATTGATATAAAAAACACTTAATATAAATGCAGGTATTAATACATGATTAGTATTTAAATACCAACTTTTACTAGTTAGTTACTAATGTTAGAAACATTTCATACATAAAAAAAATATTAAGAATTAATTAATAATAGAGTAGTAATTTATAAAAGTATTATATTAATTCAACACGATAGATTCGTCAAAAAAAAACAATTACTAAGTAGTTAATATATAAATTTATTGAAAACGTTTGGTTAATCATAGCTGAATTAATGGGGTGCTTGAAGCGCGAAATTAGTGACCTTGGTTGCGACTGACGCGATGCTCTAAAATCAATCCAAGGCACACTACCCACATGACAACATAGAACAGTAGGTCAGTGGGTTACTGTACATCATCGATAGTGTTCTATAAGCTTTAGTGGACATAAGCATTTCCAAAACTCCGTAGACATGATTTAAGTCACGCAAAGGGGCGTGTCACACATACCGGCAAAATTATTTCCCATTTTCAATAGGATAAATATAAAGAAAGCTTACTTACGCCGGTACCATTGCTTAGATGTGTATTTTTCACATGTCCATTTTTAAAATTGGCGGCATTTCCATTTAATACTTTTTCTTCTTTTCCATTGCATTGATGTGATTTATTTGACAGAACCGTACTATTATTTCCTACTGAACTACGATCTGTATCCACCGACATTTTTCTGACGAGTGAAACTGTCAGACTATGAGGTATTGAGGAACAAATAATTTTGTACAATGAGGTGAGGTGATCGTTGTGACAAGGTTTAATCTAGCAATGTAACGCTGTACTCAGTGTATGCATATTTCATAGTAAAAAAATACATAATAACTACAACGCTACAGCGCTTATAGGTTACTGGTATACAACTGCTTTACCGATTCAATCAGAAATGACAAATGATGCTGACAGCTCCTAGATTTGACAATACAAAGTGTTGCTGTTAAAAAAACATAAATAATGTGTATGACAGATAACTTAGAAACTTTCTCATGTGTACATTAAATATATAACACTTATACTATCAACTATTATTAAAGGTTATGTTAACAAGCTGATGTAAATAAAACATCACTTGAACTTTTCATATGTTGTTCTCTACAAATATTGTCCACCGAATAGCTATAGTTTGACAGTATGATTAAAACTTTTTTTGTGCTGTTATATAAATAATTTTACTCAAATGTGTATTGTAATTTCATTGCGCGTATGAAATAGTATTTAACTTTCTACTTCTAATCAGCACACACCATACCAAGAAATTTTTAGATTTAGACAGACGAGGACTAAAATATTCTTTGTTTTTTGTAAATTGGAATTTATAACAAAAAAAAATTGTTGATAATCATTCTCAAAGAGAATATGGAATTGAAAAACTCCTCCAGTCCTATTTAATTAGAAATATAAACCTGAAATGCAAGATAATAAGGCTGTATACGTAATTCTTTAGCTACAGATCTCATAAAATTAAAAACAAAGTGTTATCGATTAAAAACAGCTGTCAAAAACCCTGTCGGTAAAGCAGTTTCAACTATCTTTGTTAAAAAGTCAATAAATTGCATTTTCTTTTCTCTTCATATATTTTTTGAAACTGTAATATCATTCTTTACCCAAATTAATTGTAATTGGTACACTTAGTTCTTAAATAGTTTACCTATTACGAAATAGTTTATTAAAAATCTCAAATTTTCAAATACCGGCGGAAGGCGCCGCCCCCGCTGCACTGCATCGCTCGGAGTCGGAGGGGTCGGCCGGCAATGAGTAATACCGTTTCTCGTGCTGAGTGACGTCGTGCAGCGGCTGCCGGTGAGCGGCTCGCATCAGTCTGATACAGCGAAGAGTCTTGACAGGACCCGCCCTTTGTACTGCACCCTCGCACTCGCGCTTACCCCGCACCCTATTGATCTGTACTAATCTCCCCTATATTATTCGGAACTGAATTTAACATGGATAGCGCCGACGCTCTCCTTGGGGACCTCGCAAGCGGTGATAAGGAGCCATTCTCTGAAGGCATATCGATTGTGAATCAAGCCTTAAAACGTGATCAGGATTCGACGGACGACTTCGAACATCTGGACCGCGAGAGCAAGCAGGAGGCAGGTGAGTCACCGGAGCATCGTCACCGCGCGGCCACCCAGAATTTCCTCGATATGGAACGCGATGATCTATTCCTGGACCCGCCGCGAGCACCTTCTGTTGCCGATAAGTTCTCTGAGCAGCTTGCAGACAAGTTTACTGATAGTGAATCCGATGCAGACACTACTGGCGAGTCGCCCCTTCACCGCCCGGTGCCGCCTGCAGCGCCTACCGCTCCTACTCCTGAACCAGCACCTGCCGTGATCAAGGATCCAACTCCTGTGCTTGCACCGACGCTGGCACCCACGCCGGCACCGGCCCCTGCGCCAGTAGTTAAACCACCAGAACCGGTGGATATTCATTTCGATGTCAAGCCGCTGTCAATTGTCAATACGAAGCAGGAAGTACCCAAGCCTGAGCCGACGCCTCCACCTAAGCAAGAGCCGGCGCCGCAGCCCAAGCCAGCACCCCAACCGAAACCGGCGCAGCCCGAACCCAAACCTGAGCCACCACGAGCGCCCACCGCGCACGTCATCGAGGCCGAAGTCATCTTTTGTCAGATGGGACTTGGTAAGCATTACTTATCATTTTTTGAAGCATCTACTCTACATAATATAGCGATATTTTTTCGAATTATGACAAAATAGATTGCAAATAACTGTCATTGACTTAATAATGATGAAGGTCATAATAATCATCATTGACTTAATGTATTGTGTTACATGTTAAGGAAATTCCTATAATACATATTTTTATTATTGGTTGTTTACAGCGAATATATTATAATCATTTAAAGGTGCACGTTATTCCACTTGTAATGTAAGTTATGTCTACATGTACTTGTCGTTACGTCATGCTATCTGCACCTTCATAAGGAACCTGCTATAATTCATCTGCATTCATACGAATATAAACTGATAATCGATTTATTATTTACTAGGCCGTTATTCATCGGTGCCTACTTATTCTGTATATGTAGCGTATGATTTCATCGATCATTTCGGAAGTGCCGCTACGCCATCGCAGACATGACTGATTGTGACTGACTACCTGTGCCGCACGCTGTTTTTTGCGCACTACATTTTCGTACTCATTTCAAGGCGATTCAGATCCGAATGCTTTAGACCGTGAACAATAACGTCTGCAGGTGAACAAAACCTCGTGGCGCAATAGCTCAGTTGTAGTCACAACGAAATATTTTGCAAGAACCCATAGGGAAAATAAATGGGACTGAAAATATCTTTATCGTTTATTTAAAAGTATTCCATGACGCACATCATATTATACTTGAAACGGATTTGTGGTTGAATTTCGGGTGTGATTGTAATTGTATTGTAGGCACTAGTATATACCTAATTAGAGCGGGGTTGGCCATAGCTGAGCAGGCGATGTCGGTGCCTGGTGGGGGGTATAGGAGGAGGTTGTCTGCAGAGGTGGCGGAGCGGTAAGAGCGTTGACCGCGCTGCAGCGACGGGGTAACGGAACCCGCTGAAACCCACGCCTCTCACTGCACGCGGAAAGAAAGGATGTCCGACCGATGCGACACAAAGCAGCCGTGTAGTCGACCCGTGACGCATCTCGAAACAATAGCACAACACTGAATACATTACTCATCTAGTCTAGACTTAAAATTGCCAGACATTTGTGTATTAGCGATTTAAATATAAAATATTGCTAAAGATGCTGTAAATAAGGAAATAGATCGCCTAAGTGAATATTACTTAGTTTATTGCATGCAGTTTCATCTAGACAACGTAGTCTGTCTGTATATGTACATACGACATGCAAATTGAACGCCATCCAAGGCAGTCTGTTCGCATAAATTATGACTCTGTACGCACTTAGCATGTACTGAGCGATAGCGACGTACGAAGGAAAATGCAAGCATTTCCATCTATGAGTCATGACTTTAGTCATTAATAAAGATAATTTTACGCTATGATCTAATCACTGCAGTATTTCATAACGCAAAACGTTAACTGGAAATAATATACCTTGTTGTACTAAATACATCGTTAACGGTAATCCAAAATTAATGTTATTGACATGCAGAACAAACATATTATCAGTCATCTGGAGCTAAGAAAAGGGGTCCTATTGCATACAATAGTATTGTCCTTTCAGGGAGACAGACCAGTGTCTCGCATTCGGACATTAAAATGTAATATATAGTACTAACTGTGCAACGCCTTCGTCCGCATGGAATAGTTTCTTTGGATAGCATAAAACATTTAATAATCTAACCCAAAAAAACCAAAGAAAATGTTTTATCATTCTAGATTTAAAAATGATGAAACTTCCATACAACCTTTCATCTCCCCTTTAAATATATTTTTTTTCACATTTCAAAGTAACCTATGTCCTTTCTGAGGGCATAAACTATTTGTTTACTAAATATAATTTAAATCGGTTCAGTAGTTGGTGTGAAAGCGCTATATACAGACTGTGTTACTTTCGCATTTATAATTTTGGTCAGGATGAATACAATAGGAATCACTTAGATGATTTTTTGAGTAAATAACCCTCAACTAGACATTCTGGAGCAATCTACCATTATTTAGCTACTGATTGATCGACATAGTGTTGTTCCAATCCCACTGTTGAGCGTGGTTATCAGCGCGTTACCTATCGTCGCGGCGACCGCGCGGTATGTGCAGCACGACGCCACCATGGCTAATTTTAGAAGCAGTTCTGAAGCACCGCTCACACTACCAAAGATTCCTCGGTGCTGAGTTCACGTCAGCCGCTCGAACGCTCCTCTTAAGCAGTGATTTAAGTTCTCATGTAGCCTTGTGTGGGTTGTGAAGTGAGTCATAATTTCAAGGACTATTGCCGTATTGTGTGGAAACATTGTGTACAAAACATGGGATCCGAAGCTAATACTGTCACGAGTGAGTACTAAGCGTTTACTTTTGGGACAGAATTTCGAAGAAAGTGTAATTCGTAAAACTTTTCAAATAGGCAAAAATGTTATTGAATGCGGAAATGGTTATGACTTAATAAATTCTGGTTTATGCTAATAAATCCCACTGCTGTAATAAATCCGACATCCGCCGCTGTGTCAGTTTAAAAATTGCGGCTGAATGTGTTATCTATATCTAGTTCGTTTATGTCACCTCTATTTGAGCTAGGTTAAAGTCTGTGATTTTGTTTGGTAAATACAAAGTACTTATTACAAATATTTTTATGCCTTTCTCTTACGTTATCCCTTTATTTATCTTATTTTATCATTTCGAAGTTTTGGTTACAATTACGGTGGAATGCGATGCAATATTTTTATTCCCAAATGTTCTGCTTGACCTAAATGACCTGAACAAAACTTGTTGCTTTGTATATACTACATCGAATATCGGTATAATATTTAATTTTAGTCGGCAAAGAATAAGCAGCGACTTGCTGGACACATCATTTATGTATAAGTTTCATCTTTTTATATTTATGTAAACTAAATACTAGTATAATGTATTTCGTTCTGGTATATTCTATACGCATTTAGAACATAAAATCACATTACTACTTAAGATTATTTGTTGATTACATTATAAATATACTCTTCTTTTGGTATATAATAATACTGCGCACTTGTTGTCTCCCTTGACCTAATTCGGGACCCTTTGTAAAAACACCCTTTGTGTCAAGTGTTCGTGTAGTCTAGCTACGTCATTTCGTTGCCGGTTTCTCACCCTCGCTATTGCTTTGTTTTTACTGAGATAATTATGACACTGCAATTTACACAATGATTCCATAGTCTATATTAAATATTTGCTATTACAATGTAGTAATTTCCTGGAAATATATGATCATAGTTAGAAATAATAGTATTTCTCTTGTTTCTATTGTTTTTCTGATCTTTCTACGTTATTTTACTGTCGTTGGTGTGTCACCCTCACAACTATCGAGTTTATGACCCATGACAAAGCAACTTAAACAATGTATAAAGCTTCCTATTCTCTTATTCATCTTATCTTTGCTATTGAAATTCAATCCAATTACAAAATAATGTGCTTCCAGAAATACCGTCTTCCAGAATCTAATAAATAATTTTCATACATAGTGCTGCATTGCGTCTTTTAAAAGGATCTCTCTATAGCAGACTGGGAATTATAGCTTGTATCGATCGACCGGCCTTTCCCTCTGTCTGTCTGTTTATATATTTATGCTTTTGCAAATTTTTAAACAGCAGGTAGGAAAGTCATATTCTAGATATATATTTCTTTTTTTACCATACATTTCGTTTACGCAAGTGGAATATTTTAGGAGATTTAAGAAGTCATTATATGTACATATTTTTTCTCTTGTACATCTGCCATTACCCAATTACCCTTTATCTATAATTAGATTTGATTGTTTTCTTTGTCAATTGTTTTGAGTTAACACACATCCTGTGTCGTCATTATAACTGGTTTTATCTTATATCTATAATTTTTTAGTCGGTACATAAGCATTTTCACATAAATATATAACAAAAGATAATTTGAAGAACAACAAAAGTATCACAGTATACCTTGAAATTGACCTGCAAATAAAAATATCTAGAGTACAGACGTGTTCATTACAAATTTGGCAAAAATCCATCAACGCTACACAGTAGTATGCCATTGTCACTTATCAATTATTATGATTGTATTACAATGTCTTGTAGAAGATCGTGCCCAGTAGCGTGCTTTGGGAGAGGCCCATGTCCAGCATTGGGCTGATGTTGATGTAGATTTTTACTGGTTAAATGTAATAGCTTTATAATAATTGGATAATTTTTGATTAAGAAATTTTTCGTAACGTAGCTATTGCCTTCACTTTTTATAAGGCGTTAAGGCATCTTAATTTATCCAGATACATTAGTATGCTCTTGTGCTGCCATATGTATAGCCATTGCTGACTAATAATTATGAACTGAGTACTCCATAGTCGGGTAATGCCTGTTCACCAAAACCATCGTCCAAAACAGTCATACCTATTGATTTTTAATACACACACTCACACATGAATGCATTGAGTAGATTAACACATTTTTTCTAGCATCCATATCCCTAACCTAAACCCTGTATATAACTTAATTTATTGCGATTCATTTGCAATAAAAATAGTTAATTAATAAGTTTCGACACTGACTGCGGAAAATGCAGCCATTTTACTTTTACCTACGAAGTTTTATAAGATGTTTACATAGCAATCTACAAAATTCCATAAAGCATTCATTCCACGTACAAACGGCAATCGATGCCTCCTCTCAGTAAGTCTCGTTCTTTGACATTAAATAGTCCTAAGCTATTAAGTTTAATGCCTATTTTTATATTTATTATCTGAATCTTAAGCACCAGTTGTAAAAGGCTAAGTATTTTCTGAATTTTGCGGAAAAACCCCAGACAGACGTAATAAAGGCCTAGCCTTTCCCTCCGCGAGGGGTTGGAGGGGGGCCTGTACAGGATCGATACTGGTTGCCGCCCGCCGCCGCACACGTACTTACTCCCGTGCCCGATTACTATGTAAGATACTTATTTGCTTTGTAAACTTTCCAACAAGTCTACTTGTGGTGTATGTTAGTTTAGGGTTACTCGATTAGATTTATAAAGAGGACTAAATCAGTTAGTCCCTATGGATTTTTGGATCAAAATTTTGGAACAATGGAATTCTATTTGCAACGCATTATGTTTATGCTTTGTTATGGGAGACCATAGAAAGGAGTCTCCATAGAACTGTGACTGGTTGACGTCAGATTGGAGAATTCTTTATTCAATTATCTACCTTGTTGAGACAATTTCAGACTTTAAACTAATCTTGTGAAAATATTAAATTATATTTTTTATTAATCAAAGATATTTACAGTAATAACTGTGTGCTAAAAACAGGATATAAAGCTATCCTGCGCACATAGAGTAATTATATTTACTTATAGTAAATATAATTACTTATGTTAAATTTATAAATATAATATTTTTTATTTAAATAATAGTAATAATATGTATTATAATGAGTAATATATATATCTTAGTTTTATTTGATTGATTAACTAATATGAGTAATTTTTATAAACGCCTTTATTCATATAAACTAAAAACATACAAACCCATTTTAACTGTAATAGTGTAATTTTATTCCAAATAAAGGAAATAATACGAAAGTATAGCACAAAACATTTGGCTAAAATTGGTTTATTACAAGGTTTATGAAAAAGGGGTATAATAATTTAAACAGACATGTACATAATTTGAATCATACCAAAGGGTTCCCTGTACAGTTAGTGACTCATGGCTTCATGGGGAAACCCGCTTATCACTACTTTTATAGGGGGATCAATTAACACGAGTAGCTATTTCACAGGAATATAAATGTATTTTTTAGTTTTCTAGATAAGAATTTTTAGTTTGGAGGACTACTAAACCGTGTTGATATAGGCCTTTGATAAACTCCCAGCCCAGATGGTTAGTATTGAAAGTTTTGAGTATGAATATTAATATGTGAAGTCTCCGGTAAAGGTAAAAAATACCATTAATTTAAGAATGAGCATACTCACCCCGTGATATTGAGAAAGCATTCCTATTCATTGAAATTGTGCGGATAACCTTTGTGGAGACAATTTTTTTGTAATATAGGGGACAAAACTATCATGCGACCCACCTACTAGTAAGTGTTGTGTGATATCTATGTTATTTATTACAAAGTATCAAAGGGAGAGCTAATTTTTCTTAAAAGACAATGCATAGATTGTGTTGAATGATCTGATTCGAGTAGTATGACTCCGAAATCCTCAAGAGTACCGTCTAATGCGGGACATGGAATGTCTTTATAACTAGTCGAAGCCGCGATTTGGGTTGGTATCCGTATAACTATTTTAATTGTAAACCTATTGGAATAAATCAAACAAATTTTAAGTGAAGGTAACCACAATACATTAGCAGAACCGCACATCGGTTAAGCTTTTTCTGAGATTAGCGCGCACAAATGCACAGACTCGCCATCGACAGGGAATTCATCCCCACACGCTGGAACCTAAGTGGTCTCGTGCAATGTGGTTCCAGAGGAGGAGATGTTCTAAATGAGAGAGACTATACCTTGGGTTTTCAAGAAGGATATATTAAGATTTATTAAGGGTCAGAAATGTGCTTGTTTGTCACATCTAGTATGTAATGTAAAATACTGTATTTTATTGAAACAAAATATAATTAATTGATTTGTAGTTCTGTCTGTCCGTGTTTGGAGCAGTGACACTGCAGGTGCGTCGAGCGTGATGTGTGGTGACGTCATTGCGTACTAGACTCGCGTCGCGTTGCTCCCAAGTATTTATATCTGGCGCGCAGCGTTCATATTCGCAGCGTATTCATCTCTTCAGTTTTTTTGCACATTGTATTTAATTATTACAACAATTGTAACTAATATAAGAAACTAGCCGATCCGCGCAACTTCGTCTGCATCACACTTACTTATATTTCGCCCAGTTTACATGATCTCTACTTAAACTTGTTGCCCATGTCGTTCCGTAATTTTTTCGACGAAAGAGTAACAAACATCCATCCATCCATCCACAACATCCACTCCACACAAACTTTCGAGTTTATAATATTAGTAAGAAGTAAGACTAGCTGCCCGCTTCGGATTCGCGCGGGTGCCACTATTGTAAGATTTCTAAGATTTTTTTAAGTAGATGAAGATGCGCGGGACAATTAATTATAAAATTTAAAATATTTGGATAGTCTGTAGTAATATGACGTAAAGTTCTCTAAGATTCTTCTGGGCCTAAAACTGAAAAGCTAAGTGTCTGCTGGTGGTGCAATTTTCTTTGTTCCTCCATTTTTCACAAGACAAATCGGAAACGGAAACTGCTACTGCTAACGATTTGAAAGGAATAGTTTTAGAAAGAATTTTACGTGTATATGCAGAGTTCCGTAGTCTATTCTCCACATACACAAATTGAACCTAGTAGCATTTGAAACTTAATGTACCAGATATGTATTCAGGCTCATCTTTCGTTAAAGACGGTCATGGTGATATTATTACTGGTAATATTATATGACAGTCGGAGTACCGTGAGGTACTTTTAACTGCGTATTTAGTCCAAGGACTGCGGGGGTCGTGTTAGTACGTGATTGCATCGTAAACCTGCTCATATGAGTCACACTTCTCTATTTCCTACTGTCGATGTTGGTCCAAATGTAATACATTCGTCTTACAAAACATTATTGTCCCATATTATTAGGGTTTAAGGCGAGACACATGCTGTCCCATGTGTTTCGCCTCATTACTAGATTATTATTATCAAATGATTTCAAATATCTTGATTGGTAGTTTCTAATAAATTTATATTAATTGATGACAACGGAATGGTGCACCCGTCTTCGCTAAAAGTTTACTCTGCGGGGCACCAGTTTATGTGCTAATATGAATATGAGGTCAGGTCATTTAGCCCATCGTGATAAATTCACCAGGAATTTATAATAATGGTTTCCAGGGGTAACAGCGTGGATGTCGCACATGATATGGTACATTGGTAGCACTGGGCTCAGCAGTCCACATTGCTAAGAATCCCATACATATTACGTTACAGTAAGGAGGGTGTCAAATGTGACAAAGACCAGGAGGTTTAGAGTTCAGTTCAATAGAGGTTTTATTAAATAGATAGGCATTGTTTACTGTCATCGAGATCATATTTCCATCATAGTTATCAATAAAAATGGTTTGAGTTCGAGATTAAAACTCTATTCGCACTCTCTATTTATAATTTTAGTACCTATTGCGACATTTAGCACGACTAATCTATAAGTACCACATGTTATGGCCTGCCATAATGTCATACTGTCATCATAGGTATTTATACCTGTCGTTTCTAATGATAATAATGCTTCGATAATATTCAATTGTAACTAGCACTTCATTAATAGTTAATTTGGCAGAATTTATACAATATTCCAATATTTGTATTTTAGAAAAATGTCGTTATTTCTGCCAATGAAATCTAATGGAAATACAATTTCGAATGTGAAATTGAATAGAAAAGCATATACACTGATTATGTAATTAATTAGTCTAGGTGTATGTACGGGATTGTATTTTCTAAGAATGAGGTTAAAAAAACCGTTTTATATAATGTTTTATGGTGCAACAACTGAAAAAAAAGAAAGCAAAAAATACGTATAAAAATGTAGATAAAAAGAATAAAAATAGTTTTTGTGAATTTTGCATAATTTGTTGCAATAACTGCTTAACTGATTTCACTTTCAATTGCATTTATTACCGCACCATGTGCTCACCCGAGCGCGTTGTTCTCTGCTACTATGTATGTATACACTAGTTGAAGGTATGGTGTTTTTAGTAATGAGGCTAGTTAGTGGTCCAATTTCTAGGAATGTCCCCTATTAACTCTGCCACCTTGTAATTTTATTTAAACTTTTTTAAAGGATGTGGAGCATTCCGCTACAAATTGTCATTACGTGCTTATAATTTATCTCCGTCCATAATAATGATGTACTGATTTTGTTTTAATTGAATGAAACTTAATATCATATGAAAATAATTAGGCTGTTAGTATTGTTTGCTGAACGCGCCCTTGAGTCTCCAGGTTAAACCGGCTCTGGATCTGTAGAAGCCGTCTCTTGAACTAACTAATAAAGGCTGTGAAGGAATGCGTTGTGGGTATTTTATATCTACACATTTTAAATATGTAGATATAATAATTATTGATTTGCATTTTGTATCTGTTTGTAAATGTCATTTTTTAAACATAAGCATTGTTAACACTTTCTGGCTATATTAACACAATTAACTAACCATATAACACGTTGTATCATTGTATGTAATGTCAATCTAACAAAATGTCCTATCTTAATGGTTATAATACTATGCTACTATCACGTACTAAGGGACTGCCACTGGTATCGGTGATGGGTGCAATTTACATGGCTTATCAAGTTTGAGGGTGACGGAAGGTGGTTGTCTTCATGTACTCCTCAGTAGCAACAGTGATAGTAGCTAGAGGGGCGCATGCGCGGGCTCGGGGCGCCGAGGGAGGGCGCGGGGCTGCGCCGTCAGTATCGACGCGAGAGTCGGGCGCGGCGCGCGCTCCGTCCGCCGCCTTTAACCACCGCACGCACCAAGTTACGTAAAGTGTCACTATGGCGGTCTCCGGGCCCTCCCTTTGCAGCGTCCTCGACCCGCGTAAGTGCCGCCTCGGGCCGGCTTCGCTTCGCCTGCTTGTTTCTCCCTGTCGCGACTAACCCGCTAACGCGCAGCCTTCTATTCCAGATGCCTGGTTCGACCCGCAGAGGCTACATCCTGAAGGTGAGTGGTCATCGCGCGCGGGGGGCAGAAATACGCTTAGGTCGGCGAGCCGCCAACCGGGCCGCCCGGGCGAGCGAGCGACGCCCGCCGCCGGCCCTGGGCCCTGCACGGTGACCCAGTGACCGCTGCATTCTAGTAAAGCGTACAGTGTTTGTGTGAGCTCAGTGTTGACATACCAGAGGTTCCTTTTACCTGGAAAGCCGCGACGGAGGTCGCGGCGTGGCAGTGGTGCGCGGTGGCCGCACGCGACATCCCTCGCGGCTCTAAACGCGTTTAATCGACGCATCGTAACACCATTATAACAGAACAATAATAACTCCACATGCCAAGTCAAGGTCTGGCCGACATGCATGAGCGTCCCAATTGTAAAACTAACACTCGTATATGTCAATCATTACATGCCACCGTGATTTAATGACTAATGCTTCAGGCCTATGTAACACTAGTAGATATAAAGTTATAAATAATTATACCGACAGGACAAATAACTGAAACTAAAGTATTGGTTTTGGTCTATTGTTTTCCTTTGCGTTTGGCAAAATACCAATGTAGGTATGTTGGAATGTATTCCGCATTGCCGAGTCGCCAGGACAATTGCGTGTAAATCTCGAATTAATCCCCAGAAGACGTGTTACCCGCTTTTGGTCATTATTCGCACGTACTCATTAATTCGTTGTGTTGAATTGTGTGTTACGGAGCACGCATGCGCACCGCTGCTGCTCAATTCGCAGCCATCATCTTTGCCAAGTTGAAATTAGACCGATTTTATCTGACATTGAGGTATCTCTGTCTCTTTAATTTATTGTCGTCAATGTCGCAATTGTGTTGTCATCGCACAATTCATAGGTATATGAACTCGGTTATAGATGGATATATTCTTGTGACTTATTCGTTTATTCATATTAACTGTACATTCAATTTCTATGTCTTTACAATCAATACACACAAGATCTACGTCTAAGGCATCTATCTCATCTAAGAAATAGGTTAAATTTTCTAATTGTACAGTGCAGTAAGCATGACTCACCACAATTTCCTAACACCTCAGTGATCCTAATTCAATTAGGGAAGTGTGGTCATCAAAACTGACTCGACTGGTGAACTAGCTATTACGATAGTTTTGCTCATTGTTTTTAGGTTCTAATTGTATTGGAAGGCTGCTGCCTTGTTTCCTTTTTGTAGTAGTGAAAACTAAATCGGATCCGCGAGGTCATCTCTATGGGTCTTGTAGGTATGTATGATATTCATTGTTTCTATGACGTCAAATGCTAGTCTTTTTACTTGTTCATTCTCATCACTAAATATAACAATAGCCAAAATACACAGGTTGCCTTCAAGTATTGTCTTGTTTCATCGCCTATTGTCAAAATGAACTTTGACATGCACGTAACTGTGTAACCAGAGACGTATGGTACATCATTAGACCAATAAATAAAATAGTTGATCTCGCGATCCCCACTTGTAGTACGTGATGAGTACTATGACAATCAGATAATGTCTATCTTTTGTGATAATGTCACATGTCTATAACATATCAAGGTAAATCTAAAGATTGTTCATGACCGGGCATGACTGTGTAGTTACAATAACATCCAAAATGTATTACATTCCGCTGTTTATATTCCTAATTGTTTTATTTTGTCATTATCAAAATCATTTATTAACATAAGACCTTTCAGCCTCTTGTGTAGTTCATATTTTTTTGTCAGTATCTCTACCGTGTACTAATGGTATAAAATAAACTCGTAAGTGAGTCTGTTTATTACAATTAAACGACTAAATGCTTAAACAAATGCGAGTATATGACGAACTTAATGTTTGAATTAAAGATAAATTGTATTACGAGCTATGGACACAGTTTATCGTTTATCTGAAAATGCAGATGATGTCGCGTGAACCAACTAGTCTCTCATATATTTTACTTTACTTTGTTTTTATCTTGTTATCGTTGCCGTGATGCATTGTATACATTTTTATTGTTTGACCTCACGAGGACCTCAGTAGAAATTATCTGTATGTAAAGAAACAAGAATTGTATATTTATTGATGACTGACTGTCTTGAGAACGTAAGTGAAATATGGATATGATTAGTAAATTTGTTTTACTGAATATATATTAGTCCTCTAGCTGTTATCAGCGACTTCGCCCGAGTGGCATTCAAAAAATCTAAGTTACTCCTTATAACATTAACTATCTGCGAGTGAGAGTCCCGTGTAAGTCGGGACTGCTGTTTCAGAGAGAGAGAGAGAGAGAGAGAGCCGTAGCAAGAACAAACAGACAGACTTAAATTTATTTTTTTAAGTATGTACGACGTATGCATTTAGTTAAAAAACTGTTAATTTGAAATTACAAACAAACATTTCAATTTTTTTGCATAAAATTACGTATGAATATGAAATAAAATGTCTAATTAATTGAATATAGAGAAAATACATCAGAAATGTGAAACTTGTTGATAAGTTAGTGAATAACTGACAAGAAAGGTTCTGTTGTTAGAATCCTTTTAGAATCCCTTTACAACGATGCAATTAAAGACTATAGTTTTTACTCGAACCTTGCTTGAAACTGCCTGTGTAATAAGATGCATAAACACTGAGATGGATAAATGTAAATTAAGAATACCACCATGTAGAACCAACTCACATAAAACTAACTCCCAAGTCAGTTTCATTCAATGGCCACAAGTAATTAGAGAGATGCCATAAAATGGGTTAAAATTGAATAATGCCTATTACAAAAATATTTTGGCTCTTTGCGAGAATTGACATAACAAAACTATTGAATTTTTCCATTATTATTATGTTCGAATTTAGAATTCTCCCGATTGTAAGGGGAATATTTGTACCCCATTATGTTATGTAAAAACAATGTTCAAGCAAATAATACAAATCTGTGAATACAACACTTCTTGCAGAGAAAATAGCACAAATAACTAATAAAATCAGAAATAAGAAAACCAATTTAAATTGTTATTATACTCGCGAATATGACTTTGGTCTAAGAATTCTGTAATAGTGCCGATGTAATCGTAGACCATATTAAGATCTTCAATGTTTAAAGTAAGATTTAAAACAACTCAAATATACTTAGAGATCTTATTAGCTCCTATAACGTCAGTGACATTTGTCTGATAGGGTGATACCGTTGTAAAATCGTTTTACTGATCGTATCTTTAAAGAATTTAGTCAATGATATAATAGAATTTGAAATCGATGTAAAAATTTTGTGAAAATATAATGTTTCCAACATGGCTGACAAACAGTTGTCCCATAATCTCAATTGAAAATTATAATCTAGAAGAATTTGTGAGTTACTTAATCTTCAACGGATGAAATATCACAGAATATTATAATATAGTCCTAGTCTGACAATTTTTTTTTTAATTACTAGCACCCCAATTTAGTTTAGTGCTATTATTCTAAAGATTTCTATTCAGGCTGATAATATTTGTATCGATGAAAGAATTCGTAAAATTGTTTATGTATTCTTTGAGTTTATTGACTACAAGCAAATAATAAAATTTTCCTCTTTACAATGTTATGTTAGTCCAGATGAATTCAGCAACAGTTCCTTTAAACTTTGTTCCTTTATCATATAACAATATTTGAACAGAGATAACCAGGTTGTCGCAACTAATTTATTGGTTTTGTAATTGTCAATCAATTTCTATATCTGTGTTTATATTTGCTTTCCCTTTCTCATTTGTATTGTTAGGTGGGAAATTAGTGTTATCATTACGTTGCTATCTCTCTTTTCCTGTTAGTATAATTCCATTCATAATTTTTATTGTAATCATTTGTCTTTGTATAGACATAACTTGACCATAAGTGACACTTTAGGAGGGACAGATCCGCATTTAGGCTATTTGCTATGCTGTCAGGTGGAGGTTTACAAATTAGTGAGACGCTTAAAGCCTAAAAAGACAAGTTACAAGAGAGGGCGACCTAAAAATACTAGTTTTTATAGTCAGCAAACGTCTGATTCTGATAAAAAATTACACTTTTATAATATATATGATACACAGAAATTATAAAAGCTGTAAGGAGTAAATACTGATATGCATGCGTCCAGAGATGAATGGAATGAGAAAAACATCCCAAATCATTTGGGATAATTTATATATTGGTAATGATGAATATTTCCTAAGTCTCCGTTCCAAATGGTTTGGGATAATGGAAGGATTATATGTTGATTATGATATACATATTTTCTGCGATGAAAAAGGAAGGTCATAAATTCTTGCATATAACGAGGCTATTTTCTGTATTGTTTATTTGTCCTTAAAGTTATTAATAATGTTGTATTAAATACTAATATTGGAACAGCTTGGATATTCCTGCGTTTTCTATTTGTGCCCGTATTTTTCATCGATCGATCAACTCGATATGCGCTATAATAAGAGAAATAAAACAACATATTATTTCCGTTAGTGCTATGGTGGTTTCCAAGATCATAAAAATAGCATAATGATCTATTTTACTCAACTTTATTCATTGCTATAATTAGAATTATACAACATGTATTACTATGCAAAATACACTCGATCATAAGTGCATTTATGAATCAAATGGGAATTGAGAATTACACATACAATGAGTAACTGCAATATATTAGATTCTGTGGTCATAGTGAATATCTGATACACGTAACTCTGTCTGGTTTAAAATAGAAGTTTCAATCTATGAGCGCCATTTTGATATGATAGAATCTATCTTCGTATGAAACTTCCTTAGGGATGATTCAGCTGTTTAATTGTAAAAAAAACAGATGGACAGGCACATTTTACATCCATCCCATCCACCCATTGTGGTAAATTCACCATGTATTCATCACGAAGGTTTCCAGGGGGAATCACATAGAGATCAAGCTGACATGGTACATTGCTAGTAATAGGGTTATTAGTCCACATTAACAATCCAATTCCCTCATATTTATAATGTCAGTATGGCTTACAAAGGCCAATTGCTTCTTATAAATCAGTTTCAGGAAAGTAGACAGC